TTGTCTTTCCTGCGCTACAAATTGATTTCTTTATTATATTATTTTCTTTTGAAACTCATACTTCTAAATAGAGGACAACTACACTCCTCAACTTTGTTTTCTTTTTTCTTTTTGACAGTTGTAACATCTTTTAAAGTTTTCAATATAGAGAATATCACATTTTTTTCCAATATATTTAATAATAATAATTAAATAAATAAAAATATTTAAGAAAATAAATTTAGAAAAATTAACTGGAAATACTAACATCATTCATTATTTATATATGGATGTAAGTTAGTACAAAAATTTCACATTCTAAATATTTTACATCAGTTTCACATATGTATTACATTCATAACTACATAAGGTTACAACATTTATTCAATAGATACTTTTCATTCTAGTCTAGCCTATAGGTGTAGGTTTCTACACTGCCTGCATGGGATGGTTACAGCTCCTTGATTCCCAACTATTATGCAGAATTCCCAACCGTCGTCATAAAAATAAATATTCACAGTCCATCCTTCTCCAGAAAAAAGATAAGTTTGACATTATGGTTTTATGAAAAGGTTAGCACAAAATAAACAAATGTTAGAAAATTCTCAGTAATATTGAAAATTTTAAATTATAACCATTTCCAGTCGTAATAACGAAAAATATCAATCTCTCAAGTATGTTTCATAATTTGAAATAATATCACAAATAATAATATTCAATTGTGTAATATTTAATTGAAGCTAATTTAATTCTCAATTTTGTAGGTCCTCTGCATGTGAAAGGTTATGTTAAGGCGTCCCTTACCCTAAAATCTTCTGAACCTAAACTTTTGTGGGTCACTTCACAACAGCATCATTCAGTTAAAATTTACACATTTTCTTAATATTCATTTGGTACCAAATAAATTATTATATCTTACTGCTAAAGAAAATTTAAAATTTGATAAAAATCACAATAGCATGACAGGTAGAGCAAAATTAAAAGAAAGATTAAGGAAAAACTATAGATAAAAACAATATTAAATAAGAGAAGAAATTAAGAAAATATTTTGACAGAATAACAGCATTACAACTTTCCAAAAATAATTTTAAAAATTATAACTGAAAAAAAGAAAATAGAGAAAAGATTTTACTCTCTCAATATTACATTTTATCTATTATATCTTCATCTTCTTTCTCACCTTACGTATTCTCTCTTCTTCTCCGTAAATTTTTCTTACTTTCCTGTATCTGTGAAAGTGAGGTACTGCATGAGGTACTACATACATATATATATATATAGATATATATATATATATATATATATATTATTAGGTGCTGATTCATTCCTTTCATTTTTTTTTATATATATACACATGTTATTAGGTGCTGATTCATTCCTTCTTCTTTTTTAACATCACTACAGTTACATAATTTAATTTACATCACCTTAATTAAAAAGCACGATAATTGTGGCTTGAGGGGGGTGTTCCACGTGGCCCCCTCCTTGCCATATATTTTTTTTTTCTTTTATTATTTCAATTGTTATATGATCATAATTTATATATTATTTATATATTATTTCAATTGTTATATATTATATAACGATCATCATAACTTATATGTTATATGTTAGTAACACTATTATTGCAGTTAACACTAATACTAACATACACTTTTAAGTTATATAATTTTAACGTTGATTAAAGTTTTTTTTTAATACATAAGATATAGTATACATATAAATATTATAAATCAGGAATAATATACACTATAAAGTTATCTTAATTTTGTTTTAATTTGTTTGTGACCTAATAAAAATATTTGTTCTCAGTAGCTAATAGCTTGTCCAATTAAAACTAATCTATTATTATTATTATTATTATTATTATTTTCTTTCGATTATTACAACAGTTATCAATGAAACCGAAAGTTACACTGAACCTATACTAATTTATATGCAGTGAAACATAATTTCAAGTTTATGCTTAACAATATAACTTTTTGTATGAGCTTATTGACTTTACACCTTAATATTAAAAAAACCGTAAACTCTTTGCATAGAAATACAGAAATCGACTCAAGAATAATAACATTTCGATATATATTTGATATTAACATTATGGAATAGGGACTACGTAAAAAAGTGAATTAAAGAAGGGTTTTTCTTTGCCTCTGATCCCGTGGCAAAATGCAAAGTAAATAAAACATTCAGAAATAAATATTTATGTAATCTGATTATATTATTTAGTTAGATATATTTTATTTATATGTTATTATAATATTATTCAAAAAATTGCAAAAATATAATTACTTATAAAAATTGCCCTCATCTATACCTTCTTTAGTTGGGATTCAATAAGGAGTAATTGGTTGATTATAAGATATTACTTTTTTATATAATGCATTATATTTTTTACTTTATTTGTAAACTAATGCATACAAGATTACAAATTGCTGATTGCTTTGACATCCAAGTTCCATTTCCCAATATTAAACTACATTAGATTGTCACTGCACCTCAGAAAATGCAGGAAACAAAGATGGCCCAAAGAGCCGAAGGAGAGATCGAAGTTGAGGAGCCAAATCTTTGACCTATCCAAATATAATATGCCCTACGGAAACAAAGTACTATAAAAACATGCCCTTTTTTAAGAACCAAGCAAAATGCACGCAGCATGTCATTATCAAACAAGAGAAGTGGCATGGAACCTCCTCTAGCCACCATAGACTAAGAAGAAAAAGAATCTAATTGAAAAAAAGAAAAAAGAAAAAAGAAAAGTAAAGAATAAAACTTTTAATTGCATCAAGATACTCATTGTGTTGACTTAATGGGAAGGATCATCATGGGTTCAATTCAATCTATAAAGGGTTATCGTTAATGTAAGGAAAAAATTAAAAATAAAATTCAGCGCGGCGAAAAGATAATCATCAGCTAAATATGTATCAAACAGGAATATGCTGAGATTCCTAATAAAAGCAAGCCTCAGGCCTTGTTTGCCACTACATCATTGATATGCCAAAAGTAAATTTCGATTCCATACAGATAAACGCCGCCCAATGGACAACAAAGTTTATATTAAAATATAAATATAACTTTGTAGGAATATAGCAGATTCCTATCCAATCAATTTCTATTTGCAAGGTCCATTCAAATGCCAAAAATGGGAGAATTTATCAGAAGCGAAGCCAGTCTCCTTAAGACTTTGAATGTTGAATGTTTACCCGATTTCATTCAACTCAAAATGCATGGGAGATGAATGTCAAGTTGACAACCTCTTTTTCCTTTTCGCCTTTGGTTTGAACTGTCTTACACTTCAAGAATTTTCATATATTCTCACCAGTTTTATTTTGATATACAGTGAATGTCAATTACACTACTATCTAATTTTCATATTAATAACACATTTAATAAGCTTAATTACGTCAATTGTTACAAGAAATATCAAACTTATTAAATAATAGGTTCATACATCATTAAATACAATCAAGAATCAGTCATGTTTTGTGCTTTTTGGCCTTGTATCATTGCACAAGAGAAATAATTTTGATTGCACCAAAAGGCAGAAACTAGGGATGTAAATGGGCTGGGCTGGGTGAGACTTTGGCTTAAATAGGTCAAGCCTGTGTAAAAAATATTGAGTATGGCCTGGTCTATTAACCTGTGTAGGCTCCAAATTACAAGTCTGACCTGACTTATATTCAAAAAATAAAAGCCTTAGCTTAGGTCTGTTAGCCTGTTTAAGCCTATTAAACATTCAACAATTAAATGAATAACAAAAATAATATTATTTTATTATTCAAAATTATTAAATAATAATTTTATTTATTATATTTTAAATAAATAATATGATATAGGCCGGCCTGTAGGCTTATAGACCCGACATGTACAAAAAAGCCTATACCCTGTTTTCTAAATAGATTTTTTTAAAAGTCTAAGTCTATTCTATTTTACTACTTATAATAGGCCAACCCTGACCTAATATAGGCTAGGTCGTAGGTCCCTGTAGGCCGGCTTAACCCATTTACACCCCCAGTGGAGAGTATCAAAACATGAAATGAAAATTTTTATTTTTAGGAGTGTTCATAATTGAATTTTAATTTTATGGAATCGATATGTTTGGTTAAGTTTTAACTTATATTTATTTGTGAAATTAAATTAAATTAAATATATATATATATATATATATGTATTTATTTGTAATTATCTTTTTTATATATTATATATTTTTTTAATAAAATATCTTTTGAGTCCTTAACAAAAATCACTGGTCCATTTAAATCCCTTAGAAAAAAAAGTCAACTTTGATCATTTTGAAAATCAAAATAGACACATCTAGTCACAATCGTGGTTCGTCTCAAATTCAAAAAAACCCACGTTAGTTCCTCAAAAGGATTAATATGAACTTATTTTGAATTTCAAAGAGACTACCTATCAACTTTTTTTCAAGAAATTAAATTGGGCCTCTTAATATTTGTTGAGGACCCAAAATATACTTTACTCTTTTTATTTTTATTTTAACAAATTATTTGTATCTTTAATCATTTCCAAAAAGATAAGGATATGTGATGAGAATATATGTCGATTTTCTCTAATATTATCTTTAAAAATATTTTAAAATCTTAATTTTAGATTCGTTCCGAATAAGATTATATTCCATAAAAATATTCTTGTAATTTATAAAAAGAATAAAATAAGGATACAATCGAAAAAATATTCAATTTGAAAACAAAGATGACCAATAGAAAAAAAAGAAACAAAAAAGAAACTATACAGTCGTGTATGACAAGCATCTGCAATTCCAATGGCGTATTAGACGCTGCGGAGGTCGCCTCCTTTTTTAATAATAATTAAAAGATTTAGAAATTTAAATAATTTTTAGTAGAAGTAACTGCGTACCTTGGTAGAATCTGTCTTGCTGGACCGCGCGAAACACGTCAATTTGCTTCAAACAAAATAAAGAAAGTGCAAAAGCAGCGTTTGATACAAACAAACAAACAAACACCACTCTTCCCTATATAACCCCTCATCTTACTTCTCAACCAAACACTCCATATCTCCGCCTCCTCCTCCTCTTCCATTCTCTTCCCCTCCCTGCTTCACTCTCTCTAACCCTATCTTCAATTTCATTCATTTATCACCACACAAAATCTCAATCTCTCTCTCTCTCTCTCTCTTCATCCACCATATCTTCCTAGATTCTCTGTGATTTTCACCATCAATTTCTTCCTTTTCTTATATATTTTCCTTTCTTAATAAAATAAAATAAAATAAAATACATTGCCCAATTCCCCATGAAAGTTTTCCCCTTCATTTGATTTGAATTCATTCCAATCAAGAATCTAGCATAGCAGCTTCTGGGTATATCGAAAGTTTGGTCCTTTCTTGTTTTTTGAAGGACCCCAAAACCCAACAACATGGCTATTCCTTATCCCCATTTCATTTCCTCTGAGAAGGCTGCCATGGAAGCTGGCCTATTGGTACCTTCTTCTCCATCTTCTTCCTCCGTGATTCTGACCCAGGACGATTTGAAGAAAATCGCCGCCTACAAGGCTGTCGAATATGTCGAATCCGGTATGGTTCTTGGTCTCGGAACAGGTTCAACGGCGAAGCACGCCGTGGACCGAATCGGCGAGCTTCTTCGCCAGGGAAAGCTTAAGGACATCATAGGCATACCCACATCGAAGAAGACACACGAGCAGGCTCTTTCGCTGGGGATTCCCTTGTCGGATCTCGATTCCCATTCTGTTGTTGATCTCGCCATCGATGGTGCCGACGAGGTTGATCCTTATTTGAACTTGGTGAAGGGTCGTGGTGGGTCCCTTTTGAGAGAGAAAATGGTTGAGGGTGCATGCAAGAAGTTTGTGGTCATTGTTGATGAGTCTAAATTGGTTAACTATTTGGGAGGTAGTGGTTTGGCTATGCCTGTTGAGATTATACAGTTTTGTTGGAAGTTCACTCTTGAAAGGCTTCAAAATCTGTTTGAGGAGTCCGGTTGTCTTGCCAAGCTCAGAACTTTTGGTGAAAAGGAGGAACCTTTTGTCACAGACAATGGGAATTATATTGTGGATTTGTATTTTAAGAACAGTATTGGTGATTTGAAAGCTGCAAGCGATGCAATTCTGCAGCTTGCGGGAGTTGTGGAACATGGAATGTTCCTGGACATGGCTACCACCGTTATTGTTGCAGGTGAACTTGGGATAACAGTGAAACATAAATAGTTGAATTCAGACCAGAAAATGGCTGGAATAATGTAGGTGAAATAGGGGAAGGCTGATGGTAGAGCTTCTAACATATTATATGGTTCTTATTCACTGGATCTATGGGAAGAGTTGGTTGAAGAAAAAAGGGGTTGGGGTAGGGGATTTTTCTTATAATCCTTTTATTAGTAGATACAATTGTTGGAGAATGTATCTTAATTCTCCGCTAATTTTGTTTTTGCTTTTTGACTTAGTTTGAGCAAGCAGAAAAAAATTGAAACTTGTTGGAAAGCTGAGTATTAAGCTCATATGATGGCTGTTGTGTGGTACTGAATCAGTTCTCCACATAAGTTGTTGTTGAATTGATAGTATTTAATATATTGAACTTATCTAATTCAAATTTTGCTCGTTCTTCCCTTTGATCTGCTATTATTGAATTGTATAGTTTGCAAATATTGGAAACTCTTATATTTCGTTTGTGTTTTTATAGTTTGTTACTTTGTGAACAATTGTGGGGGTTACTGTGTTGAGGAAGATGGTAGTTATTAATTCTTTGACTTTCTAAGGGATTGGTTTTTCCATCTTATATTTCTCTACTTCTGGCATATATTTCACTGCATACGAAAAGGAGACTCCAGTGTTTACATAACCAACATTTGTAACAAGACCGACTGTTTTAATAACTAGCTATACTTTTTAAGGGGTCATGTGATGTTGCCATGTAGGTATAACCGTTGGTGTTGTTGTCAGAGGTCAGAGGTAAGGCTGCCTATTACAGACTCTTCCCTTGATATGCACATAGCGTGAACTTTATAGTACCATTTTTAAGTTGCCAAATTCTCCAGTGCTTGATTTTACTTATAACATTATCAAGGAAACATCAATAGAATGGATGCTAGTCGGCATTTGCATATAATTGCATTTTCCTCATTAGAAACAATGCATACTTTCCTGCATTTGCCATTGCTAGATGAAGTAAAACATTCCATCTTGAATATTTTGAAGCGGAAATAGTTCATGTTTGAAAAGGCTATATGGCCAACCATAGAGTAATGCAAGGGTGCGTGATGATTAATGAATTTTTTGTTAGAGATTTTGCTTTTAGTATTGGATTGCTCTCATTCTAAGGCAAGACCATGCATTCTTTGAAAGGACTGAAAGGATCCTGCGCAAGCTGTAATTAGTTTAGAGAGCTGTTCTTTTTTTATTTAAGAACACTGTTCAGCTGGCAGATTCTTAGCTGCTACGGAGTCTCTGTTCTGTGATTTCTTGAATTTATGCGTATCCTGCAGTATAAGATACTTTCTGTTTATATGTATATAATATAAATATTATACTACACTTTATTAATTCATGTTTATTCAATTACTCGACTTTATGGATTTTATTTTGAGAAAATACTATAAGATAAGCTATTGATGCAGGAGCATCTATTATTATTTACAGTTGCCAAAATTACTGTTGCGGTATTTTTGAAGATGAAAGAAGATTGACGTGTGAAAGTGTTGCAGATTAACTCAAAACTGGTAAATTACCAATATTGGTTACCATGCAACTAGCGGTAAGTTTTACTTGAAGTGAACCTGTACCATTACGTATGAAATGCAAATGGATTGCACCTGTATGCTCATAATAATATCCAAACTATGTCTATTTTGTTTTCGTTAGGTTTTGGAAACAGATAGGGGATAGATCTTGCTATTGTTGGCGTCACTTCATATCAGTTGTGTTGTATCCTATTTCTTAGGATAGTCCTTTTTTGACTGGGAAAAATACTGGTTGACAGAAAATTGTTATTCTGTAATTAAAACAAGAATGGTTAAGCCATACTTTATTAATGTAACATTGATTTGCATGATAATTTTTGTGTAAATGTGTAATGTTATATCATTGCACTCAGTTTCCAACCCTCTTCTCACTCACACTTTCGTATTGTATTGTTCTTTGTTTGACTGGATGCTTTCCAGTGTTGGATTAACAACAATTCTAAACCGTAATGTTGTTGTTTTTATATGCTGCTATGTTGATTATCGGTCAGGTGGCAAGGATGTTCTGTTTTAGTTCTTATACATGCTTATTTGAACATTAGATGTGATCAAACCTTTACTTTATTCCAGTGTGTACACCTTTCCTGCCACCTACTTAATTGGTACATTGAGAAGTAAGCTTCTATACTAGCTTAACCGGAGATAGGGACGTTTATGTTCTTTAGTATATTTAATTATGTTTATACTTGGGTTCTCTGAAAATTAATGTTACAGTATACTTAAAATCAAGTTATCAAAGTTAATCAACTTGTGTCTCTTCATAGTGGAACCTTTTCAGCTGTGCTGTTATTTAGTTTGCAATTATCTCATTGGAGTACAAGACTGTTCTCAATTCCTTCTGAACTTATCCCTCTTAAGGAGAAAAGCAAGGTGTTTTTACCTCAAAGCAGTAAATTGATTTGATACTGTAGTGGGTTCTATTGAAATGTAATAGCTTTCAGATTTCCCATGTGAAGCTTGTTACTGAGTTGACCTAGAATTTTAATAAAAACTGTTGGCTATGAAAAATACACTTTTTAATAAAAACTCGTTAATTCAAATGATATGGTCTGTTCTTTACGATTATGCTGCTCCCAAGTGCAAGTTGAGGTTTTCAGGGAGTGTAGTTGTTTCTGTCATCATTGAGCTAGGTGGGTAAACTGCTATTGTCATGTTAAAATGAAATCTCTGGAAATTCTTCTGGTATGGAACGTGATATGAAGGTTTAAGTATGCTTTTTGCATTTTATTTTCCCCGTTTGACTTTTTTTTGTTTGGCTGAATATGCTTGAAGGCCCTCATGACTTTATCCCATTCTGTGAAGATTAGGTCGGCCAATAAATCCCTTGAAATCTGGAGTTGAATAAATAAATATATTTGTGTTGACTCTAGCATGGTGTTTGGAATTGGATAGGTTTTATTTTCATTTTCACTAATGATGCCTTCAATTGGAACGTTGTTTTGTGCATAGTATTTGTGGGGTACTCGGTTTTTTACATATAGCTTAGCAAGGTTTTTGATTAAATATATAGCCGTTCATTATGCTTTAGCATATTCTGATTCTGAACCGTTAGTTTTATGGGCAACTCTTCTTTTCATGTAACGACTCTATAGCAACTAGTGCGGGGGTGTTCTTTACTATCCTAAAATGTTTCAGGTTAATATTTTCTCATGTAATATTTTTTTTTCTTTTCTCTATTCTCTACATTTTGTGTATAGGAGATTAATCTTTTCTCATATAACTGTTTATAACATGAGAAAAGATTAATCCAATGTTTTATAGTTAAAAACATTTAATGAAAGTCGACACTGTTATGGGGAAAAAGAGTAAAGGACAAGGAAAATTTAACCTCAAGCTTGGAAGTAGTATCGAAGAAGGAATCCAAGGCAAGCAGTAAGCGAATAAAATTTGATCTCAAAATAACAATTGCAAGGAAGATAAAAATATTGGGACTGGAGGTGAAGTGTTTAACAAATGTATTTTCCTTGCAATTGTTATTTCGTATTCGTCTGTTGTCAGTATTTGCTTTGCGCGATATTGTTTTGGACATAAGAACTGTATCCGAAACAATCAGAAGTGTACAGTGTACCATGTGAATTGTGATCCACATAATTAAGATTCTCCATCACAAGACTGCTTTTCTATCTTTTTCATGCTTTCTTTTTCTTCTTTGTCCACTTTCTTGGAAACCAAGTGGTTGTTCCAATCCAAATGCAGCTTTTACCTTTTTCTTTTGTTCTCATGATTTTTCCATTCTTGCTGGTTAAGAATTCCATATCTTACTAGCTCCCTCTTCGTATAATTTCAATTCCCAAGTCTCAAATTGCTAAAATTAACTCTCAATACATAGCTGCTGAACAAGTAGTACTGCATTCCAACAACAATTCACAAACTTGCTGTATCAGCATCCATCATGGTCGGAACATCCTCCAAGACCACAATTGAGATTGTAAGCGATGACGAGATGGATTCCATTGAAGCTGCTTTAGCTTCTGCAGCTTGTTCTCCTGTCACTTCTTTTACTGTCTCTGCAACACCTTCATCCATTTCAGCCTCTCAGTTGCACAGAAACGCTAAATCCACTCAGTCAATTTCAGTTCAAGCCAAGAGAAGGTTATTCATGCGTGCAGAACCTGACATAGAGGATTATGGCAATTTTGTGACTAATCGGAAGAAGAAGAAGAAGTCCAGAGCTGCTGACACATAACTAGACCGTTTTAGGAGCAAGAGGGGCTTGTTTGTCACCGATGTTACCAAGACAGAGTGGTGCCAAAAGCAAATGGAATTTTCTCTCTTTTATGAAGAATGGAAGAACAATGAAGCTATACATGGTGGGGAGGTAGCTCTTGTTTTTGGAGGAGGAGGAAGGATGAACAATGAAGCTATGAAAGCTGGTATAGATCGGCATGTTCAGCTTCAACAAGAGGTTCTAATTCCGTTGGAAGTGAAGGTGAAGTCATGTGAAGATTATATGGCACTGAAGCTTGTTAATTTCATAAATGGTGTGAATCAATTGTTGTTTGAAGGATTGACCCGTGAGCTTCCAATAGTGAGCTTTGCTTTTGCAGAAGGTATATGGATGGTGGGAAAGATTGATGAGGTTCGGATCCCTAAGGCTGATCATAATCCGGTCCTAGTTGAAACAAAGACTCGTTTCAGAGATACTGTTCCTACTGAACCTCAAAAAAGAAATGGAAGGATTCAATTAATGTGTTACAAGTATTTGTGGGACAACTTAGTTGCTCATGCTGATCATGATTTCCCTTCTAAACAGTTGTATGATTATTTTGGGTTAAAACCTCAACGTACTCTATGTGAAGATCTACAAATGGCAAGTGCTTACTCTGGATTCTCTGCATTGACCCTTGAAGATGTGGTCATATGTTACCAAAATACGTGTAAGATGCTGCCACCTGCTCATGATCAGCTAGTGTTGAGATATGAGTCTCAGAAAGATCAGTCACTGCTTGATGAAGATGAATTTGCATATAATAATGGTTGGATCAAGAAGCAAATCAGCAATTGTCTTGAATTTTGGCTTGGACAGCGAGAAGCCAGTTATGTTGGTGAGGAAGAGCAATGGAAATGTGGGTACTGTGATTTTGTTTCTGAGTGTCCTGCATGCATTGATACTGAGAGCACAGAAACCCTCTCAAGCGATGACTCAAGTTATTATTATTAGAAAGAAATATATAGTTATACTTGTTTTGTTCTGTCACGATTTCTAAAGTAATAGGTCTAAAGCAGTCTCTGGGGGCATGCCTTGCAGTAGTATTCTCCATGTACAATAATATAATTAAGAGTAATGCAAAAATTAATGCTTTAATTTTATATAATCTACTACTAATCAATATAGTGTGGTATTTTTCTATATTCTTTCTTTTAACAATTTAAAATTAACTTTTGTCTTCTGTTTTATTTTTAGTAAATTTAAAAATTAAATGTATATGTACTATTTGGATTTATTCATTTGTGAATTTTTTCAATCCATAATGTGTAACCACTCTTTTTTTTTTTTTTTTTTCCCCGGTAAATAAGTGTAACCACTCTTTAAAAGAGTCTAAATATGATTAATTATTAGAGAAAATAGACATTTTGAACCGGTCACACAAGCCTAGTCGATTAGACCGCCATTAAGACCCATATAAGTGATTCAGTGAAGTGATCATACTTTTGCATCTCTAAAGTGAGATAGCTAGACCCTCGTTACAAAGAATCTCACTCATATGCACCAATTGATAAGCTTGCCTTACATTTAATGGGGTTCACAATGGCAACACAGTTACGGTTTCCCTCTTTTATTTTGATTAATAATTGAAGAATTTTCTCCACCTATATATACCACCACTCTTTTGTCATTGAAGAGACATGTTTTACATACGCCTTCTAATACTTTTACGTTGCTAAAATATCACATCACAAAGTCACCGTACCCTACATCTGCACCTGCTTCTTAGCCTTTGCTTGAGATATACTCACGGTGACTCTCAATTCAATTTAGGTTCATATGTGTGGTTATATTGACATATTTTACCTCATCAAGGAAAATAGATCATTTCCACCTCACTAACACTTCATGATTAAATTTTATAATACATAATTATAAAATGATTTGATTTTTTGCATCAATGACAGATATTTGCTTTCTGCCTCAGAGACACAAAAAAGATCCATTATTTTTTTTTTTAAAAAAATTACTAGGATGCGACATCATATCTTAATAAATATGTGTCTAGATGCATAAATATTTTTTCCATTATAAAACGAGAAAAATGTTTGTCACTTTATGTTAAATGATTTTGGTAGATTTTTATCTTTTCTATCCTTCACAATACTTTATTTTTCTCTAAGAGAGAATATAAAAAATCATTAAATATGCATCAAAAGTCCTTTCACTTAAAATGAAAAACACTTATCCTAAATTTTTTTAACAATAGAGGCAGAGCAGATTTAGAATATAGTGGAAAATAATAACTTGAGAAGGACCGTCTTTTTAAAAAATAAAGAAAAGATTACATGCCGGTTCTTGAATAACCCCTGCATAATAGTTGACATTGTTTTAGCATTCTTGTTCATGTATACGCGAATGATTTTTTAACGTAGGTAAATAGTAATTTAAAATTGTCAAAATTTGTTCATAGCATTTAAGTTTTAAATTAATTATCAGACTATTAATTATGTTAATTAAGAATGAAAAATAAACATTGTGCATCAGCCATCATGTATTGTAATAAGATTTTCGGTGGAAACTTGAAACCACTCTCCTGAAACCCGACCCGATTCAGCCGGGTTAATTTAGAATTCGGCAAATCAGTCATCGGACTAGTTCGCATCAAGTATTGGACCGGTCATGCATTGATCCGGTCAAACTCAGTCAAATCCGGTCAAAATCGATGACCTGTTGATCCGGTCGGGTCATGCATTTAAAAAAAATTAAAAAATCAAAATTGTTTCATCTTGTCAGAAAAAATGTATAATTCACTTTAATTTTTTTTTGTAATTTTATTTGCTAGTATACTCTTTTACAATTACCTCAAATTTCAGTTTCCAATGCTGAAGGAATTTGCGGAATAATATATTAAGAGGATGTCACATATATCATTTTAACGTAGTTGAATTTAAAAAATATAAGTTTAATGTCATTAAAAAGTATGTTTATGAGGATTCTGAGTTGTAATTTAAATTGACATAGTAATAATGTGTATTTTTTTTATTTATGCTTCATGTTTTTGAGCTTATTAAGTGAATCTTGTTTAATTCTTTTTAGATATGGAGAATATAATTGAATTTATATATTCATATTTATATATATTTTTATAGGAAAAGGATCCGTTTACAAGATTTTTTTATAAATTTTTACAAATTATGCTATCTTCTTCTAGAAGAACAAAGTATAACTCTCGAAAAAAAAAAATGTAGTTTGTAAACAATTTTTTTTTATAAATATAACCTGTTTCATTTTTATATTTATATATATTCGAGTGAACCAATCCGACTAATCACCTAATACTCCAGCCGAATCGACGTCCGGATCCGATTTAATAATACTGTTTGAAACTGTCATTTATTTAGAGCAACTGTGTAGAATGGAATAAGAAGATGAATTGCATTATGAGGATGGGGCCCATGGAATCCCTTATAGGTAAGAAAAAGCATATTTGCCCCACATGCACCTTGCCGGTTGTCACGTGCCTGGCCACTCATCCACAGAAAAAGCCAAAGCCAAAGCCAAAGCCAAAAGCAAAGCAATTTATTTAGCAAAGCAGTGCACTGAATGGCCATAACTCAGGGACCCCATCTTCAACCAATCTGATTCTTTTTTCACCAAATTGACTACCAATTACCAAACTAACAGAATGATGCTATGTTGAACCTAATCACACTAGATAATGTTTTCTTATTAAATTATTAATTTTCATGCTGCATTGATTATGTTTGGGGTTAACAAGTAGCCTATGGAATAGAATCACGTTAACATGCTGGTGATAATTTGTATATATATAATTTTTCATATAGTTTAGGTTAATTAATATGATTAAAATGACACCCGCCTTTTTCCCTCGCGTCAATCATGATCATCAGTACAGTACCCCATGTGACTCTCTGCCCTTTCTCATTTCTCTGTGTTCCCACAAATCTCCAAAGTTCCGTTCTTTAGTTAGATGTAATCAACCTTTAAGGGTTAGCTGATTCTGACAGTCACTATGAATGTTGTGTCTGTGTCTCGGCGGTGTTGATTTGTTGTTTTCAATACTGGAATCCAAAATGGCGGGGGTGGGGTGGGGTGGAGTGGCCTCCTTTTGCAGTCACCAGTTGAAGTGAGTTTTCTTGCAGGGAACTCAAGATGAAGGCCCTTTCCTTCAATCTGTTTTGGTTTTTGTTGCTCCTCTTATCCATCTTACTGTCTCTCAGCTCTATTTCAGCTTTATCTCCTACTGGGTCGATCCGGCATCCCATAAAGCTTATCCTAGGTTCGTGTTTCTCATTCATTCTGATTTGTGAATATGGTGACATGGGTTAGGTGCAGATCTTGGAAAGCTGATGACTTTGAAGGAAAGATCAAAACTTGTGTCGGCTTTTGCTTCATTTCATCTTGTTGGGTTTCTTGAAATATGCCATTTTTATTGCTAAATGCTTATTGTGGAGTGCAGAAATGGAAATTTTGGATACCTATATATTTCCATGTTGGCTTATGCTGTTTTGGATTCATCTGTTTTGCTTGCAAGCATAGTTAATTATTATTATTATTATTTATGTTCTTAGGAGAAGGAGAAGAGAATTTGGGTCCATGGAAGAATGAAGTCACAAAAGTGGCTCCAGCACCAGGCCCTGGAAATGAGGATACTCTTATTTTGGCGGCAAACAGGACCAAAAGGGCTGACATTCTACGAGGATTTCGACGTTATCGAGGTGGTTGGGATATTGCAAATCAGCATTATTGGGCCGTAAGTTCTGTGGCTCCTTCTTTTATCATTATGTTCTAGAATGGATAGATGACTTATTCTGTTCTGAGTTCCAATTCCATATTGAGAAATGAAGTTCTGACATGTTGCCTTACATTTCTTGTTCAGCACCTTAGATATGTGGTGTATTAGATTGTAATCGAGAGTGCTCTTGTTCAACATGTTTTAACTGTCTGCCTGCTTATATCTCTCTATATTGGGCATGTCCTTTAAGAAATGTAAATTCTCATCATGATTGATATCTGGTAAATATGGTGAGTTTTGAAACTCAAGTGGTGGGATCAATGAATGATGTTTACTTTTATCTTATTCTTACTACATGCCTACGAGCCATTGTTATAATAGTCTTTGCCTATTGAAATCAAGGTCACTGCTGTATAATTAACAGCTGGAGATTTACATCTATATCTAATCCGTCTTTCTATCTCGAGCTTTGAATTTCATTCCATTTCCTTTGATTTTTGTCCTCCTTGATATTATGTTTCTTATGAGTCTATTTTTCAGTTATTTTGATGTTCTACCTTCAGAAGATTCTTTTTACTCACTGCAATTAACCATTTTATTTGCAGTCAGTTGGATTCAGTGGTGCAGCTGGTTTCATTCTTGCCGCCCTATGGTTTATCTCATTTGGCTTGGCGCTTGTGATTCATCTATGCTGTGGATGGGGAATTAACATCAAGGATAAGGGATCAAATCATTCACAAAGGATTTGTCTTATCCTTCTTATATTATTCACCTTTGCTGCAGCGTAAGACTCTGCCCTTTAGTTTCATGTTCCTCTAGTTAATTTCTTCACTTCTTCACAGGATGCTTTATTTCCTCACGGACCCCTTCTTTTGCCCTTTATTTTAATAATCTGTGTTCATGATTGATTGCCGGATATTCTTCTGTATTTGTAAATCAAAATCATAAGCATGTCATGGATGTCGATAATAGTTTTCTATGGATAGATACCAATCTTGACGATAAGTTTGGTGATAATGTCATTTAATTGCTATGGATTTTTGACAATCAGTTTTCACGCCATACAAGTGCTGTATACAGTAATAGCTCAAAGTTTTATTCATTACAAATTTAAACAGTTGTTACCTGCAAATGACACTGTTCAGAACTTGAAAGCACAAGTAACAGTAAAGGAAATATAAAAAAAAAAAAGCATGAAATTACAGACCCTAGAACTTTCTGGTTTTACTTGCCACTTCTAGTTATTATTCATTACCCTGAATTTCTCTAAGTTCAATGCAATACATTGGCAAATATTATGTTGCTTCATTGTTTCTTCAAATTCTAATCCATTTCAGTGTCAGTTGTACTTGTAGATGCGTTCAACCTTTATTGGTTACTTAAATATCCCATTTTCTTAATGATGCAGGACTGGATGTATCCTCCTTTCTGTTGGGCAGGATAAGTTCCATGCTGAGGCGTTGGATACCCTCCATTATTTTGTCAATCAGTCAGATTTTACTGTGCAGACTCTAAGAAATGTCACAGAGTATCTCTCCCTTGCAAAAACTATCAATGTCACTCAGATGCTTCTTCCATCCGATGTCATGGATGATATTGACAAGTTGAATGTGGATCTAAATAATGCAGCGGATACACTTTCCGAGAAGACAAATGAAAATTCGGTTAAAATTAGAAGAGTATTCAATGATGTGTAGGCAACCATAAAACTGAGAAATCTTCATTCTAGAATTTAAAATTCCAACCATGTATGACCAAACTGTGCACATTTTGTAGGCGTCTTGCTTTGTTTGTTGTGGCGGCAGTGATGCTTCTCCTGGCTCTAATTGGACTACGTATGTGTTGATAACATCTTAAATAGATTGAACTAGTTTTATATTTATATTCTAGAAATCTGGGTTATAACTGACTCATATTTTTTGCAGTCCTGTCTGTCCTTGGATATCAACATGCGATCCTCATGTAAGTTATGTTTGCTTATGTATGGTCTGTTGATATTAACTTTGCTTATCATGCCTCTATCTCTCTGAAAGACCCTTTTAATGTTCTTCTATCTGATTTCTAAATGTTTTGCAGATTTGTTATCACTGGATGGTTACTGGTTGCAACCACATTCATTCTTTGTGGAGTGTTCATGATCCTTAATAAGTAAGCCATTATATCCAAGAGATTTAAGATTTAACATATTAGAGAGAATTGTATTCACTTTCTTGGCTCCCTCAGGGCATTCATTTACCCTTGGAAAGATGTTCTGCATTCATTGCATCTGATTCCCCTGTCCCCAGCTTTCTTTGATGTTGTAACTTAATCCATAGCAAAACCTGACGTAAACTGATAATATTGAATTGAAATCCAATTAGCTTTATATTCTGGAAATTATTTCTATTACAGTGCAATTTCTGATACCTGTATGGCTATGGGAGAATGGGTAGCAAATCCACGAACAGAATCTGCTCTTAGTGATGTCCTTCCATGTGTTGATCAGAGAACAACAAACAAAACACTTTTTCAAAGCAAACAAGTGGTCACCAATATTGCAAGTGTTGTTAATCGGTTCATCTATAACAGTGCAAACACAAATGCAACACAAGGTAGTCTGGGTTACTACAATCAGTCTGGGCCTGCAATGCCTCCTTTATGCTATCCCTTTGACTCTCAGTTTCAAGAGCGCCAGTGTACAGCTCAAGAAGTCTCTTCTGCCAATGCTTCCATGGTATTTTTTTCATCACTTGATTATTGATCTTTGCCACCTGCTGGCTTTTGATAGTTTTCATTCACTTTCTCTCCCCCTCCCTCCCGCACAAAACAAATTATGGATGTGTGTTTGTGCCAGAGAGAAATGATAGTTCTTTTTAGCTTTGGATTTCAAGTTGAATACATTTCTGAAAATGGGAAGATTAGGATACGATGAACTATATCTGTGTATCAAATCAGTTGTTTCATTTAATGAGAAATGATATACATGTCTATGTTCTGCTGGAAATTATAAATTATTCTGAAAATGGGTGGTTGATAGATCCAAATAGGTCTTGCACCACTTTTAAAAATGGGTTTAACTATTACTTGTATTTAAGATGAAGCCTGGAGGTTAGGCTTTATGTTTCTTATCTCTTTTTGATGTTGGACATGATATACTGGCATTTGAAGCCTTTGCTTATTGGTGTTTATGTACATGGATGGTTGACTTGCGTATAATACCAAATGGCTATAACTGAAAATATTGTAGATAACTTATAACTATCTTGATTATTTGCCAATCAATCAATTAGATAAAAAAAAAATAACAGGGAAATTGGATGGAAAGAAGAATCTCTAAATTTTCATCTTGAATTGTTCCAATTTTTTTTGTATTATGTTCCGGTTTCTATTTCTGCCATTGATATACAAAGAATCTCATTGAATCCGTTGTTTAAACTTTTCAGGTTTGGAAGAACTATGAATGTGAGTTATCTGAATCTGGTATTTGCACCACAGTTGGCAGGGTAACTCCAGAGATTTACTTGCAGTTAGTAGCTGCGGTTAACGAAAGCTATGCATTAGAACATTATACTCCACTTTTACTTAGCCTTCAGAATTGCAATTTTGTCAGGGATGCGTTCACGGGAATCACTTCAAGTTACTGTCCTCCATTAAACCATTACCTTAAGATTATCAATGTAGGATTGGGCCTCATCTCAGTTGGTGTTTTGCTCTGCCTTGTTCTTTGGATACTCTATGCAAACCGCCCCCAAAGGGGAGAGGTGTTTGTGAAGCTATCCTTATCAGAAAAAATAAAGAACAGGTTTAACAAGAACAACAGTACAAATTTATCATTGTCAAATGCAGATAGTGAAGTGTAGTATGTACAATAGAAAGTCGATATAAAGTAGACTATTATACTGTACCCCATATTACGGGAAGAAACAAAGTGGGAGCGAAACTGCTGCTTCTGTTCGAAGAGGATAGCCAAAGCTAGTGTACTATACATTTTGTCCATATAAATAAAAAAGCAATTTGATTTGTTTTTAGCTTTAGATGCATAGCTTATTTTGTTACGATTGCTTTGACCGCTTCCCTTCTAACTAAAGCCGTTTTCATTCAAACTTTTTTAATTGCCAGCATATCATGTTGGATATTAATATCATATATAAAAAAGGGAGTATGTTATGGACTAGATTTATAACTTAACTGCATATCTAACAAGGGATTATGATATATCTTATTCATATCTCAACAATAGAGTATGATAAGGATCAAAGGCTGAATATAAATGAATGATTTTATTATGTTTATTGTTGTTTTTTAAATATAACATTTATAGCTAAGAGATGAACAAAGGGTGATCTTGAAATATCCATACAATAATGGGGAGGGACTTTTCTCCTTAATTATAGGTCTGAGTTTGAATTTTGGTAGAGTCATATTTTTATATGGATTTAACTGTGCTCGAATTAAATTAATTTAGATAATTGATGAAGGTGTAAAAAATATTTTTTTAGATAAATCATAAATACTTTTTCGGAGTCAATTACGTTCGAGTGGAAATATTCATATCATGTTGGAGTTGGAGTTACCTCTCCGTGACGAAAAACTTGTCATTCACAATTACAAATAATGCGTAAGGCGACATTAGAAAAAAAAAAGGCACAAAACCAATCTCTGCAAAAGTAAAAATCGATTCGGATATGAACAAAGTAAAAATAAAAACTTTTTGACAGTTGTACAGCAAAATCAATAACTAACTGTAATACAGTACTAATACTAGTCTAAAAGCTCATCAAAAAACGAGACGCTTTGCAAAGGTTGTAATTGCCCAAACTCTGACAACACCATCAGAATAGCCACCGAACAAAGTATTTCCATCTGCACTCCAGCTCAAGCTTGTACAGTGGATAGACTCGTCATCATTCTCCTCCTCATTAATGTCGATGGGAACCTTCAAATCCTGACGAACATCCTTATTCTTCAAATCCCATATTCTGATGCTGTGGTCAGTGGCAGCACAGAGCCAATACCTACTGGGACAGAAGCACAGTGCATGAACGTTGGATTCAACATAAAAAGAGAAAAGCCTCTTTCCCTTAGCCAAATCCCATATCGGAATAACACCATCATCCCCACCACTCGCGCAAACAGACCCATCGGGTGAAACAGCAATGCAGTTAACATAGCCAGTGTGGCCATCGAGGTTGTGCCTCGGCTCAATCTTATTAAACTTCAAATCCCAAACTTTAACAGTGCCATCCCTTGAACAAGAAACAAGACTCTCGTGCCCGAACCGGACGCAGTTCACCCAATCGGAGTGGCCATCTCCCTCTCCATCTACGTCTTCTTCGTCTCTCTCTTCAACAGTGTACTTGCACTCGCCTTGAATGTTCCAGAGCTTGATCGTGCGGTCGCGAGACGCCGACGCGATCTGACGGTTGTAATCCATGGAGAACGCAACGGAAAGCACTCCCTTTTTGTGGGAAATGAAGCGGCGGAGGGAGGTGCCGTCGGCGAGGTCCCAAAGGCGGAGTTCGCCGTCGGAGGAGCTGGAGAGAGCGTATTGTGAGTCGGAGGAAAGGGTGACATCCTGAACGCAGCGAGAATGGCCGGTGAGGCAGAAACGGGGGACACCGTAGTCGTAGTCGTCGTTCTTATTGGTGAGATCCCACATGATGATCGATTTGTCACGCGATGATGTTACTATTATCTTTGAGTTATTAATGTCCATTGGAGTAGCAATGGCTGTCACCATGTCGCTGTGACCATGCATTGTTCCGCAAAGAACAAGACTCTCTAACATTATTCTCTTGTTTTTGGAAAGAGCAATGCACATTTTTTTCTTTCTTATTCTTTCGCTTCTTCTCTTTCTCTCTCGCTTTCTCTCTCTTTCTGCACTTTTCAGGGTTTGGAAATCATGTCACAAAGCCTGATCCTTATTTATAGTTATAGATGAGGAACCCTAATAAAAAAAGGCGCGAATGATAGCAAGATAAAGCGCTAATCCTTGTTTGAAAAAAGGATATCTAATGAAAAACAAATCAAATCAAGATAATCCTTATTTATAAGTGAGGAAATCGTAACGGAAAAATAAGTCAAATCAAAATAGAGATATTAACGCTGAGAGATCTTTTATAAATCTATTAGAATATTTTAAATTAACGATATATGATATGATTTTTTTTTTCCTTCTCTGCCCAGCGTTTGATCGGAAAAAAAATTAAATTAATGTTTTTTAATAAATTAATTACGCATTTATTACAGTTTTGAAAATAATTACATAAAGTCACAATAAGATGCCCAATTTGGGCGTCACTCAAGAGGCAATCACGCCTAATTTGGGCGTCACTCATCAGGTGTTGACACGTGTCATATTTTTTTCTAAAAAAAAAAATTAATCATAAAACTTCTGAATCCCATAACTTTTGACTCGGGTATCCAAATCAGGTAATTCTTTTTTTGATTCATCATAACTTTTCGAGATCTACCCAATGATATTTTATTTTTCAAAAACATAATTTAAATTTAAATAAGGTAATCCTTCTTCCTTAGAGATTTAGAATATTTATTCAATTATTTCCTTTATTAATAAAGATTTTTCAAATTGATTTTTGAGTTTAGATCACAAATCAAATCTTTATTTTGTTTTCCTTATTAATAATAATTGTTATTTTTAATGTAAATCACAAACCAAATTTCTTTTATAATAAAAATAAAAAATTTATTTTTTTTAATTTAAATCACACATCAAATCTTGATTTATTTTATATATTAAATCACAAACGCAGAACTCAGAGGCTTCTGAGGTTAAAAATGTGACACGTGTTAACACCTGACACGTCACCAATCACGTCTAAATTGGGTTTCAAATCAAGAGGCAATCACGAATTTAGGTAATTTTATTTTTGAAAAACATTCATAAGCCATCATTAATTTCAGACCACGAATAATAACCCAAAAGCTTATAGCATTAATCATTAATTTCAAAAAAAATATCCTTCTTTCTTAGAGATTTAGAATATTTATTTAATTATTTCCTTTATTTCTACAGATTTTTTAAATTGATTTTTTAGTTTAAATCACAAATCAAATCTTTATTTTGTTTTCCTTATTAATAATAATTTTTATTTTTATTTTTAATTTAAATCACTAACCAAATTTTTGTTATAAAAAAAAATCACAAATCAAAATTTTATTTATTTATTTTATATTAAATCACAAACCCAGAACTCAGAGGCTTCTGGGTTAACCGTTCTTATATACTATTCTTGCAAATTAAAATTGTGTTTGTGTGGAATCAAAAAAATAATTACCTGATTTGGATACCCGGGTCATAAATTATGGCTTTCAGAAGTTTTATGATTAAATTATTTTTTTTTTGAAAAAAAAAAAATATGACACGTGTCAACACCTTATGGGTGACGCTTAAATTAGGCATGATTGCCTCTTGAGTGACGCCCAATTTAGGCGTCATTGGTGACTCCCAAATTGGGCGTCTTACTGTACAATAATTATGTAATTATTTTCAAAACTGTAATAAATGCATAATTAATTTATTAAAAAACATTAAATTAATTTTTTTGCCGCGTTTGATCACAACACTTTTGTATTTAACTGTTTTGAATTAACAGGTATTACGGGATAGATATTTTTATTATAATAAAACAGTTAAATGTAGTTCTAGAATATACATTAAGTTAAATTTAATGAGAATTGTGTCAGCATGGACAATGTTGATAGGGGTGTTTACGATCTGGATTGGATTGATTTTGGAAGTAAAACTCATCCGACCCAATCTCTTCGGTTTGATCATGTAATCATCCATTCGGTTTGGATTGGATCGGTTTTCGGTTTTTTGAATATCCTAAAATTTGTTTCATGTGTTATAAAAAAAAAAATTTTAGTTTCATGATTATTGTGCAAATAGCATCTTTTGTATATATTGGTTTTGTAATTTTTTTTTTGAAATACAAAAATATACTATAGTTTTTTTTTGCAATGAGATATGAAGCTCTACACAGATAAAATTTTATTGATGAGACGTGACTAGGTTTTTTCTTGGGTTTAGTTGATGAATTAATGGGTTTTGGGTTTAGAAATTTTTGGGCTATGATTGTGGAAAGGACCAAGTAGGTAGAGGGAAATTAATATATTGGATCGGTTTTCATCAACCCATCCGAAAACCGATCCAATCCAATTAAAATTTGCGGTTTTTTTTGGTTTATTCGGTTATCGGTTTTTCGGTTCGGTCTCCGCGGTTTGAATCGGTTTTGATCGGTTGATGAACACTCTTAAATGTTGATGATACACTCCATAACACAATAATAAGTTAATTGGCAAGGAATTTTTTTAATTTTTTGTTGGTTTATTTGGAATGGGAGAAATAAGTTAATCCATGAGGTGAATTTCAGTTTTCCTGCTCATCCTGAAACTGTGATAAAAGTTTATGAGTCAGAAATTAATAGTTGTAGAGCTTTGGAATCAACTACAAATCTACCTATTAACCCTATGCAGACTCATTGGATTCCTCCTGCACCTAATTGGGTTAAGCTTAATGTAGATGGTGCGGTTAGTACAACATCCAAATTAGCATGTTGTGGAGGTATTTTTAGATCAGAAGATGGGTCTTGGTTAGGAGGTTTTTCGTACCATATTGGTATTTGCTCTCCAATGATGGTTGAATTCTGGGGATTTCTAAAAGGGTTGGAAATTGCTTAGAAGTTGGGGTTCCGTAAAATTGAGCTAGAAGAAGACGCTTCAGAAATTATTACGATGCTTGCTTGCAGAAGCAATGCAGCTTGTCTACCACATATTGTGGCAAGAGTACAAGCTCTTATTGATCAAGATTGGTTAGTGAATCTAAAGCACATTCCGAGAGGAGCTAATGGGTGCGCTGATTGGCTAGCCAAGTCTTCCATCCAGAGTTATTTCGGTCTTCAGTGCTATCGGATTATGCCTACAGATCTGATTCCCTTGTTTATTTTAGATCTCAATGGAGCATCTCAGTCCATAGATATGGA